ATAAAGCAGGTCGTGCTTTAGGGTGGAGATACCATGTGATTGACAGGTTGCCACTGTAATATTACCGTGTACTTGTGTTCTCAGTGAGATGGTGTCCAAATGCCAGACTTGATGCTTCAAAAAGTAGCTTACTTTGCATCCAGAAAATACCATATTGTTCTAAAAATACTGTGCTTGTTATATATAACACTGTATCTTTCAAACCTCAGCAACCTCAGCATTTAATTACCTCTACTAATGGAACTTGGTTATTGTGAGACATCCATGTTTGTCTTCTTTTCCTGGCAGTTTCATACTTTATATTACCAAAAGGTACTCATAGCCAACCAAGAAGACACTAGCTCTGATAAGTAGAAAGTACAATAGAAGAGGACAGGTGATGTGACGGCCCCACCTATTATATTGGTTGGGCACATTGGCTGTCTGTGTTTTGTTCTGCTTCCTCAGGTCCCTAAACTGCTGGAGACTGAGTGGGCAGTCCTACCTGCTTGGCATGCCTGGGCCCAGCGCTCCCAGGCTAAAAAAGGGCCAACCCCTCAGCTCCTGCTCTCTCGTCATGCTTGTGCATTACGGCCATGCTGTCATTTTGGTTTGTGTCTCTACATCAGACAACACCTCGCACCACATCGTATCCAGGCATCCAGGTATCTGCACCTACACTACTGATATCAATGACTTACATATCTCACTCTGGTAATATTAATTTAAGCAGTTAATAAAAGACAGCACTTGACTCTAGCAATACCTGTGTCGTCTCTTCTCTTTTGTCGTAACCTATTTGCGGGGTTGTGACAAAGTGGGGGCTCGTCTGGGGGAGGACTTTGCCTACACTTTTTCCTGAAAATGTACAAAAGCGCAACATTGACATGCCAAAATGGTGATGTGGTCTCATTCGTAGGGCCACGAGATCTGGTACGTATAGGGGTCTATTTATTGTCATTGTATGTGCAAAGTTACATTTTGCTATCGTGTTGTCTTCATGTTGAAAGTTATCAGCACAAACACTGTATTTTGAGTATGGATATGAACACAGGGCTACAGGAGTCAGGGTTCAGGTTGTGGAGTGTGGAGTCATGTTGATTGTTTACATTTGGCATTGTGAGTCTTGGATTGCTTTAAGCATGGAACTCTAAACCTGGAAATTTCCAGAGCAGAACATAGGATTGTATGTTCCCTGCTGCAGATGTTGGAGGAGAGCACTCAGGTAAGACTGAGACCATATGGTAATGGTTCCCAATGGTCCAACCTAATTTGCTAATTTCCGCGTGAGTGTTACAAAACGTTAAACTCAGTGATTTTTGGTAAACTGTCTACCATAACTGGCCTAAAAAATGGGATCAAATACAATAAACATTTCATTAGGATGTCAGCATCTTTGAGGTTGAGCCATATTCTGGACATGGCATACTTTGGCTGTCACTAATCTTAGTGAACGCATCAGAATTGAACACAGGAACAAGAAAACTTAACAAATTTAGATTGAGACAGTTTGGTGAATAAAAGAATGGTGGCTTTTTATTTTATTTTTTTCTTCTATCCACTGAATGATCCATTTAACTGCTTGGGCGACTACCACCAAGCGGAAACTTGACACTCTGGATAAAACAATGGTGCCTGCAACCATCTCTTGATTAGATTTTGCTCCAGATACCGACCACACACTGGTAGCAATTACCAGCCATTCTGTGCTCTGGAATTTGATGTAAACAGGCAAAACTGCCTCAAATAAACACAGGAACAAAGAGCTCAAGAGGATCCTGCACCACACAGCTCCAATCCAGCCCTCTTCTGTTGGCTCGATCAGAGCTGTGACTTCAAACCGGAGAGAAATGCACATCAAAAGATCTTCCATGAGAGTCAGTATGAAGGATGGTGTGACACATATTAAGTCAGAATATGACCCCTCAGACTGATCAAACAGGCTGGAGGTTATGGGTTTGGGCTTTTTTTGTGCTTGATGTATCATACAACAGCTGCTCAGCAAAACTGGAATTTCTTGGGCAAACTCTAAAAGGCATTAATGATGCAGGTTCAGGGGAACATTTTAAGCTAAATAAATCTATGGTTTTCTTAACTTATGTAAAGCAGCCTGTGGGGAAATATGTTTATCTCTTATCTTATTTAAAATGCTCCACATGTTGATATAGATTTGTTGGTATGTGAGTGAAGATCCAAGCATCAGTGGGGAATGTATGCTGAAGGTTTCGTCCGGGTTGAGTGGAGCTTTTCTCAGCAGGGGAAATGATCCACGTCTTGTTGCTGAGAACCGGTAGCTAGTCAGGCAGAAAAGATCCTCTCTAATCCTATATACAGCACAATGGCACATATGTAGCACGGCTATCGGGTGATAAAACGCAAATTCAATGACTTGAGGGGCACTAAAATCATTTTCATCCCTGCTCCCCAGGGAGAGGGAGAAAATCTATATAGTCCGGGGGAAAAGATCTTTTTTTAATGACTTCTGGCTGTAATGATATCATTTAGATGAGATGATGGGTTGAAAGCTTGGCTATCTATAGCACCTGTTTTAAATGACTGTAAATGTAGAATCCCTGCGTCTCTCCATCTGTTCCTGTTCTCACCTTCCCGTCGCACTCTCTCTCTCTTTCTTTTTCTCCCTCCTTCCTTCGCAGCCTCACCAGGCTTCGCAGCGAATTGCTGTGGGAGTTCTCCACCTCCCTGTTTGCAAAGGCGTACCTGTTCACCGACTTTCAGAGCAAGTGAACTGAGCGGGTTTGATTTCCCAGATGACACCCTGTATGTGCATCCTCGCCTGTCATCCAATTTCTGCCGCTTCGGAACCAGACGTTTGCTTGAGGGAGCCCATTTTATTTCCATTAGAGCACAACAATGTTCGGTTTTATCGGCTGTCATTTAACATATACACAGAAAGAAAAATGCTACAACAACATGCCAAAGAAGGAGACAGAACAGCTACCTGCACTGAATGTTACAGTGCATGTGCTGCGTGAGGCTGGAAACATCAGCAGGCACTGGAGAGGGACGGGCTATTTTCAAAAACTGGTCACTGCTACAGAACTGATTTAAAATTCAATTTACAAGTTGCAAAGTGCAATGAAATCAATTATGAAACAATACACAGGAACTTAATTGTGGCGGTGGTTTTCACAGAGTATGCCTTACTGCTGGAAAATTTAATCTAAGAAGAGAAGTGAGGCAAAGGTTGCCTAGAGCACTTATAATAAGGTCTTCTTGCCACTGTATAATTGGTGGCGTCTAACTTGAAGGAAGGGAAAGAGACTCTGTGGGAAGTAAGACACATTCTGTCAATGACAGTGAGACCTAATTATACTATGCAGCCCCTGCAGCCATGGTGGATGTCAAAGCGGGCAGCAATAAGGCAGTCGATGGGGAAGACACACCACCTACCATGGGTGTGTGTGAGCTTTCAGGTGACCTGGAAAGACCTGTTTACCTCATTAAAAATGAATCACAAGGTAATAAGGGCCCC